ACGCGCCATATTTGAGGGCTAATTTCAATCCTATAATCACAGCTTCATCCTCGGCCTCATTGTTAGTCATCTCGGGGCATCGTATGGACTGGCGAATTACTTCGCCCGTAGGAACCTCGAGGACGAGTCCCAGTCCCGATCCCGAGGCATTAGATGTGTCGTCAGTGTAGAGGACCTAAAGTTCAGAATATGCGGAAGCGATGAGCGCCTCCTGCTATACTCCAGGCAATATTTTTGCGCTGAAATCAGTGAAGAAATCGGCGAGCACCTGCGACTTAATGGCAGTTCGTGGTTGGTATGTTATTTCGTGCTCGCTTAATTCTATGGCCCATTTGGCCAGTCTACCCGATAATTCGGGTTTGTGTAGGATGCCCTTCAGGGGGAAGGTTGTCACCACTTTTATGGGGTGACATTGAAAATATGGTCTAAGTTTTCGTGAAGCTACGACTAATGCCAAAGCTAGTTTTTCAAGGTGAGGGTATCTTGTTTCGGCATCAATTAAGGTTTTGCTGATATAGTAAATTAGAGATTGCGTACCTTTATTTTCGCGGATCAAGACTGAATTTACTGCGACTTCGGAGACTGCTAGGTATACTAGTAGGCATTCCCCCCGGTCTGCCTTGACGAGCAGTGGTGGCGAGGATAGATATGCTTTCAGCTTCATTAAAGCATCGACGCATTCTATATTCCACTGCAGTCTGTGGTCTTTCCTTAGCACATTGAAGAATTTATGGCATCTGTCCAATGATCGTGAAATGAACCTCGACAGGGCGGCTATTCATCCTGTATCCTTCGATGGCCCTGATCTGATTCGGGTTGACCTCGATACCCCTTTGTGACACTAGAAAACCAAGGAACTTTCCTAAAGTTACGCCGAAGGCGCATTTTTCGGGATTCAGCTTCATCCTTTATTTCCTCAATATCTCGAAGGCTTCCTTCAGATGGTCAATGTGATCCTTTTTTTTCGACTTTACTAGCATGTCATCGATGTAAACCTCCATAGTCTTACCGGGTTGTTCTTTGAACATCTTGGTGACTAATCTTTGATACGTCGCCCCTGCGTTCTTGAGTCCGAACGACATTACCTTGTAGCAATACATTCCTTGGTGAGTGTTGAAAGTGGTTTTTTCTTGGTTTTCTTCAGCCATCAGAATTTGGTTGTCTAGGAAGCTCAGTAGCTCGTGTCCCGCCGTTGCGTCGATGAGCTGGTCGATGTGCGGTAATGAAAACGAATCTTTTGGGCATGCTTTGTTTAAGTCGGTGAAGTCGACACACATCCGCCATTTCCCATTTTTCTTTTTAACCATGACCACATTAGCAACTCATTGGGGATATTTTGACTCTCGGATGGAGCCATTAGCGAGTAATTTATCAACCTCTTCGTTGACCGCTTCATTGATGGCGGCATTGAACTTTCTCCTCATTTGTCGTACTAGCGGGTAAAGAGGATCGACATTTAGTCTGTGTGTAGCGATATCCCTTGGGATTCCTGGCATATCTGAATGGGAAAAGGCAAACAAATCAGCATTATTAGTTAATAACTCACGATATTTACCTAGTTCTGAGAGGTTGTGTCTGATGTAAGCCTTTTTCGTGCTATCAGTGTTGTCCAGTTGGACGAGGTTGAGGTCTTCTACGGTTACCTTGCAAGCTTCTACGGCATCTGGGTCTTTGATGGCCTCTATTTGTATGTCGGGTTTGGTTCCCGATATGGCTGATTGCTATGCTTCCGCACTTGCCCCTTTTAGTTGTTTGGTGTGTGTGCAATCTTAGGCGATCCGGTAGCATTCTTGGGCGGTGCGTTGCTCGCCTTGAATGCTGAATATCCCCCATGGGGTGGGAAATTTGATTACTTGATAGAAACTTGATGGGACGGCTCGCATGGCGTGTATCCATCGGTGCCCTATGGTGGCGTTGTAGGCTGTTTCCTGGTTCATGACGTGGAACGTCTTCTCTAGGGTGACTTCTCTTGCCAGGACAGATAGCATTATCTCTCCAGAGGTTCATTCCACTGCATTATTAAAACGCGTCAGTGTTATGCAATGCGGTACTATTTTATCCTCGAGCCTCATCTGCGTGAGAACTCGTGGGTGATAATACACGCACCGCTTCTATCATCCACCATTATTCTTTTTACGTCGGTATTTGTGATGCGTAAAGTTATAACCAAAGCATCACAGTGAGGGAAAAACAAACCGTTAGTATCCGACTTATCGAAGATGATACAGTCTTCGAGATTGTCATATCGTTCGTGGGCGACTGTCCATTTGAGTTTGTGTGTGGTGGTGAACTTCACATGATTGATCATTGTATCGTCGCCGCCACCAATGATCATTTGTATGGTACGAGCTCGTGATGGTAGTTTTGGAGGTCCCTGAGGTTGATCGCGTCCACGAGCAAAGTTGGCTCGTCCTCGGTCGCTCAGCAGTTCTTTCAGGTATCCCTGGTTTAACATTCTTACCACTTCCTATCGCAGACCTATGCAGTCCTCGGTCTTGTGTCCCTTTTCCTAGTGGAATTCACACAGAACGTTCGGTCTTCTGGTGTTTGGATCCGACTTCATCTTTTGCGGCCACTACACCTTTGTGCCGAGATTTTCCAGTGCGTACACTATTTCTGAAGGGGAAACACAAAAGTTATGAGCAAATAACAGTGGAGGCATACTTCTTTCGCTTCGAAGTGGTGCGATGTGTCGGGGCGCGACATCTGTATGTTGTGAAGGGGGTGGGTTGGATGTTCGGACATAGGGCTAGTGCCTTTCTCAATTGAAACGTGGTAGTTGATCCCTTCGGTCGTCGTTGAGGAGATCTCTCCTTGTCTCAGTTTGGATCGAGGTTAGTCATTGGATCAGGCCGTTCAGGTCATCCTCGTCTGTCTTCACTTCGGCGCAATAGGCATTATGGATATCTTCCCACGTGGTGGGGGGTACTTCATGAGTCTACTTAGCAGCTTTTTGGTGGCTTTTGACCCGTTTCTGTTCAACCCATTTTGAAAGGCTGCTACCGCCATCCCTTTTGACACGTTCGGTAGGCTCATCCTTACCCTGTTGAATCGGGCTAGGAAATCCCGAAGTCCTTCGCCTGTCGTTTGCCTGATGGTGAAGATATCATTTACCATAGCCTCTGCCTTTTTCGCTCTCGCATGAGCGGTGACAAACTTATCTGCCATTTCTTTGAATGTTGATATCAATTGTGCTGGTAGTTGGGAATACCATGTCAATGCTCCTCCTATCAGAGTATCATCGAACTTTTTCAGTAGTACTGACGACACCTGTTCTTTTGATAGACCGTTACCTTTTACTGCAGTAACGTAATGGATCAAGTGATCCTCCGGGTCCGTGGTGCGATCATATATTTTTAGATATGGTGGCATTTTGAAGGTTTTTGGAATAGAGTGGGGAGCTACCTCTTCGCTGTATGGTTGTTCGACGAATCGTCTCACGTCACGTTTTGGTAGCAATTCGGAGTACCCGGTATTTTATCAACCTTTTCCTGATGCTCTTTCATCTGGTCGTGGAGTGGTTTGTTCTCATTTTCCATCTCTTCCATTTTCTTTAAGATGGATGCAAGTGCATCGTTGCCTATATCAGCGACAGTACGGGTGTTACCTATTCGTGTAGTTTCTGGCTCATCGGCGACAGCTGCAGTTTCTGCGGGTAATGTGTCTTCAATATCCCTCTGAACGGGTTTGTCGAGTATGTTGCTCAAGGTGTTTGTCAACCATTCTTCTAATAGCCTTTTCACAGCCGGTGGTGTTTCTCCTGCTGCGGATGTTGAGGTTCCCCTCTCGCGCGAGACAGTTAAACTTTCATGTGGGGGGAGTGAGATCTCTCCCTCATGTGGAGCACTTGGTGCTACATTTTCGTTGTCTTCTCTACTGGATTCATTGAGGGAATTCATGAGGTTGTTCGTGACACATACTATTGCCTTTAGCCTTGCTTCTCCCTTTCTTGCCATTGTTGGCCTTTGTCAGACTAAAATGAGGTGATTATTTCTTTCAAGAATCTAGACGAAACTAAGGTCTCAGCTATAGAAATCCCCACAGACGGCGACAAATTGTTTGACTCGAAAGATATCGAAACCTTTTTGAACAAATCAATCAAAGAAGTTGAAGGTGTAAATCTTAGCTAAGTATAATAGTCTCTAGAATGAAAGATAGAAAAGTGAATAATGATAAGAATTCCTTATCTCGTTTAGACAAAAAAAAGACCTTTTTACAACAATCTTCTCAATCCTCTATGTAAGCAAGTTTGCAATAAGCATTATGGATTAGCCGAAAAAGTGCCCTTACAAAGTTGTTTCATGCTCTATGTATAAGGAACCCAACCTTGCTGAGCTCTAAAAGACAAGTTATAGGGAATATTCGTGAGAATATTCCCGATGTCCCCTAATAGGCCTATACTACTGCAAGGGTCGTACCATCTCTTGTTCGCCATAAGGTCGCCCTCTACAAGATGTCGAGCTGTGTGAATCTCGTCGTTTGTCGTGCTCATCAACGGTTGTGTTTGTTCAAATTTGGACTCATACACCTACTTGTAAACAACTCTGTGATAATGTGTAGATTCTTGCCTCTGACGAAGCAAATAAGGAATTCAAACAACTAAAGACATATGTAGATACATGCTATAATAAGCTTCTTTTTTATAACATAAACACTAGAGAACTCTCGCACAAAAAGGACGGGTAAAAAAGCTATAACACATATGCCAAATAAAAGGTGAGCAGAAGGTTATCATTTTATCGTAAGTCCAGTCAAATGTCATGTAGTATAAAGCATTACGTAATATAGTTACGTAACACCCAAGCCACCCCAATCAGATCAACGAAGAATACACTAAAACACAATGACAGTGGAAATCTGAACTAAGAATTGGGGCAAATGTAGACTATTTCTATGACTTATAGGTTTGGTTCTAGTAGCTTTGGCTCACGCTTTAAATAATAAATTTCGAACCCATAAAATTAAAATCGTGAATTCGCCTTAAACGGCTAGAGATTAAATTACCTCTCCACTACATAAGCAAGCAACTCGTTGGTGACGAAGTACTCCATGCTGAAGTCAACTAGTTCACCTTGGCTGCGATCAACCACGTGGCGGCACAATTCTTGGCTGCCGATGCAGTCTAAGTCACGGCAGTTCGACATATCAATGACACGCCACATGGAAGGATCCATGCACACTCGCCTCCACATACTGCACACCTTCTGTGCAATCAGCAGTATCTCTTTTAACCCCAGCCTGTGTAATATGTTACCCCATATATCTTCTGGTAATTCCAACCATGGCGGCCTTTTCACCATTGACGCCTTCTTCTTTTTACCTTTTCCTTTTCCTTTCCCCTTTCTATTCATTGTTTACTTGGGTTCAAGTTGTTTGATGGGGAAACGAGAAAGTGAAGAAGAAGGACATGAGCGAAGGTATTAGCGCTGTCTTTAAAGTGACGGGAAATTTGAATTTTGAGCTCTCTTATTGTTTGCTTGCATAGTTCCCCATAAAAAGCAAGTAACCCTACTGGTAAAAGCTTTAATTGCTACAGAAATGAAGTGAATGGGGACAGTTGCTCTAGATAATTGGACCGTTTGGCACGATTTATCTTTTCCACGACATTATCCTAAACCTAAATGCCAATTTTTTGGATTTAAAATACGTTTCTACTGTCTAAAAAAAAATTTCTATATATAACGAGATATTATACCGTGCTATACTTTAACGGTGTTTCTGCCGTTAAAGTATAGCGCATTATAACACCGCGTCATATATAGCATAGTATAATACAACGTTACATGTAGCGCGGTATTACAACGCGCTATACCTATTTGTGGGCCCATCAATTAGTCTCCTGCATTTAACCGACATAACTGTAATTCAAATATCTATAGCGCGGTATTATACCGCGCTATACCTGTTTGTGGGCCCACCAATAAGTCTTCTACAGTTAACTGACATAACAATAATTCAAACGGGTATAGCACGGTATAATACCGCTCTATACATCAAAAAATTCAGCCCCTTCGGGCTACGCATTGCCTTATTTAAAGGCGTTAGGATTTTATGAAAATCCATTCAAAAATATTCTAACTTTCGTTCAAACTTTTGTTCTTTTTATCAAACATTTTTTATAATGTCTGAAGAGCCAAAAATAAGGGTTTTATTATATTGGGGGTGAGATTGTAATGGAGAATAACTCTGTCTGGTATAGTTCATCTCCACAATGTCATGATAAATTGTCGCTTACAATGGACCACGATAAATTGGTATCGTTATTACGTAAAAATATGATTGTGAGGAAACGTTCGGTGAACCTTAAAGTAACCGGTAGATTTCCGTATTATTGGAAATGTACGTCAAAGCTGAAGACACTGGTAATAATGAGATTGCGCAAAGCAGAGATAACCCTCAGTCATCGGGTGATTATTCTGGAGCAATTTTAGCACAACATGTTCGGCTCAAAGAGTTTGACCGGATCTTAACGTATCTCCGCGGGCGAATGAGGAGCGAGGAAATAATTTCTCTCATACATTACATAATCCACAAGACGACTCGTAAACTTCAATTTTCCTTTCGGTTACGATGTTTTGTTGAATTGAATTTGTATTAACACTCATATTTTCCACAGGGGTACCATCCGGATATGAGTTTTACAAGTTATGACCCCATGCCCAATTGGAATATGCGTAGTTCTATCGTGTTGGATCACGGTGGTCCATTTGGGAGTCATCACCAATAGGAAAACGTCCATCATGGAATGTCAATGCAGTACGACTTGTAAGTGAAGTGATATAGCTATATGTAAAATATTTATCAATTTGAGTAGTTTGTCATTTTGTTCTTTTTGTGCAGTGAAAACAAGCAACTTGATGGTCCTGACCTCACTCAGTTACCCATAGACGATGTATTTACTTGTGATCTGGTAGATGCACAGAGTCAGAAAGATAATAGTGATTATGACAATAATGCCGATGAGTCTGGTGATGACACACCCTTCCCTGACGAGGGTGATAATGAGGAGGAAGTGAATGTCGAACCTGAGCTGACGAGGGAGCATGCTCTTCCACCTCCCGTTAGACCAAGAGTGTACGAGTCCCACGTGCCGTTTCATGAGTGGAATATTCCCTATCTTGATAACTTGCCAAGTATGCTGGATATGGATGCCCTCACAAGGGATGTTGACGAATTTCGGTCAGCAATATGGGATGAGTCTAGACCAACGGTGCTGGCAAAGAGCATGTATTTTCCCGATAAAGCTCGCTTAACTAGGGCTGTAAAAATGTTCAGTGTTAGAGAGTGCCGTGGGATGACGGTAAGGGAGTCAACTCCGAAATTATACAAGGTTGTATATCGTAGACAGTTTATGGGTTGTAACTGAATGTTGCATGCGATCAAGAAGGAAACAGGGTTGTGAAAAATGGATAAATATATTGGCACCCACAAATGTGAAAAGGACACATTCAATTAGAATTACTTCAACTTGGATGTAGACTTGATTTCTTTTTTCTTGATTCCTTTCTTGGAAGTGTCCATTAGGTACAAGATTGTCACGATCCGAATTTCCCACCCTCGGGAGTCGTGATGGCGCCTACTCGTGAAAGCTAGGCAAGCCAAGTATTATAGATTTACTATTCTTTTATTTACCCCTTTTTAATAGTTTAAAATAACATGTGAACAACAGTGAAATATTAACAATAATTTAGACATGTGGAAGATAAAATCGGATAACTTAGCCAAAATCAAGTACGACCATATCAAGTACATCTCTACCCGGAACCGGTGTCACAATATCACGGACCATCTACGAATACTACAAACAAGTGTCTGAAAAGAAAGATACAATCTGTCTCTAAAGTAAATAAAAACAGAACATAAAGATATAAGAGAACGTCGGGGCCTGTGGACGCCTACAGGACTACTTCGGGATCTCCAACTAGACTGAAGGCAGCCACCCAAAGCTATTGTCCAAAAGCTGCCGCTCCGGGATCTGCACATAGTGAAGAGTGTAGTATCAGCACAACCGACCCCATGTGATGGTAAGTGCCTGGCCTAATCCCGGCGAAGTAGTGACGAGGTTAGGACCAAACTACCAAATAAACCTGTGCAGTTATATAATATACAACGGAAAATAAACAGAAATAAATAAGTAAAGATGGGAGGGGGCATGCTACGGGGGAATATCATTTACTAACAGTAATTTAAGAGAAAGACATAAGGAACAATTTACAATTCACAGCAAAAGAATAAGGAACTCGTAACCAATCAATAAGCACTTTTATTATCTATTATTGCGGCGCGAAACCCGATCCAAATCATAAAAACACTGTTGCGACGTGCAACCTGATCCATATCATTTATCATTATTGCGGCGTGCAACCCGATCCAAACATAATATTGTTGCAACGCGCAACCTGATCGAAACATATTATTGGTGCGGCGTGCAACTCGATCCACATATACAGTTCAACACCAATCACAAAGAAAGTCCCGACACGGGATAAAAAAAAACAATACTATCCCTGCAAGGGAATCGACGGTATAGGTAAATACGTCCCGGCAAGGGAAAATCAGCTATAACCAAACTTTTTCCAACATCTAACTTCATCAACTAGCACCAATACTCAATCATAAGTAATTTCCACGAGAATAATCATAATCTTTGCTCAACACAGAGAATCAACAACTTAGGCATTCGTAGTATTTGTTAAGAACACAACAATTTCAATTTAAGACTCATGGTCATGCTTGACACCAACGTATAGATACCCGTCACCATGCCTATACGTCTTACTCAACAAGTAACATGTAGCAATTAGGACACAACTCTTAATCCCTCAAGCTAAGGTTAGACCAAACACTTACCTCGAACTTCCACGGCCAACTCAAGCCTCAAACACCACTTTCCCTTTAGAATTCACCTCCGAACAACTCGTCTCTAGTCCAAATTGACTTAACAACATCAGTAAATGCTAAAGAATTCATACCTAATGCTTAATTATAGATTTTCTATTATTCTTCCCAAAAAGTCAAAAATCGACCCCGGGCCCGCTTGGTCAAATAACGAGGTTCGGACCAAAACACGATCACCCATTCACCCAAGAGCTCGAATATGTAATTAGTTTCGAAATACGACCCCAAAACGAGGTCTAAATTCCAATTATACAAAAAGCCTTAACTCTACCCAAATCTCTAATTTTCTACCCTTAAGAATATGATTTAGGCTTAGAAATCTAATGGGTGTTAATGGAAATTGAAGAAAATGAGTCTAAGATTACATACCTATGAATTTGTGGTGAAGTTCTCTTTCCAAAATCGCCCAATTTGGAGTTTAGAAGAAGAAGTTATGAGTTTTGGGTTAAATCTCGTATGTGTTCTGTTACTGTTTAAAAGACTGGCAAAATTGGTCTATGCAATCGCGAACAAGGGTATGCGATCGCATAGGGTAAGGGGGATTGGGCACTGCGATCGCAGAGCAGGGAGTGCGATCGCATAGAGGAAAATAGGTCTCCCTTCCCATGCTTGGTTTAACCCATTGCGATAGCGGGAGAAGCAATGCAATTGCATAGAACAACTGGTGACCCCCCCCCCTCTCCAAATTAATTCTACGTGATCGCGAAAGCAACTATGCGATCGCATAGCACAAAATAGGGCCCATTGAAAGTACACTACGCGATCGCGAACCTTCCTATGCGATCGCATAGCATAAAGACCTGGACACCAGCAAACACCAGAAACACCAAAATTTCTAAGTCCAAAAACACTCCGACGCCTATCCGAAACTCACCCGAGCCCTCGAGGCTCCAAATCAAACATGTTCACAACCTCAAAAACACCCTACGGACTTACTCGTCGATCAAATCTCCAAAATAACATCAACAACTATGAATTTAGTATCAAAATCATGAAATCACTTAAGAACTTCAAATTTTCCAATTTTCTCAAATACGGTCCGATTCACGTTATTTCAAGTCCGTTTCTTACCAAATTTCACATACTCAACTTAAATCATATATAAGACCTGTACCGCACCCCGAAACCAGAATATGGATCTGATACCATCAAATTTAAACACATTTCATTTCCAAAACTCATAAATAATTTCAGAAAATATTTTTTTTTTAAAATTCATTTCTTGGGCTTAGGACCTCGGAATTCGATTCCGGGCATACGCCCAATTCCCATATTTTCCTACGGACCCTTCGGGACCGTTAAAACATAAGTCTAGGTCTGTTTCATAGATTTTCACATAATGGCTTTCCCGCTATATGCCCGGACTATGCACGCAAATCAAGGTGATGCTGAAAGAGGTTTTTAAGGCCTCGGAATGCATAATTTATTTCTAAAACAAGAAAGGTCATCACAT